CCGAGAAACGTAATCGAGAGAGCTGTAAGAGAGCGCGTAAGAGAAAGAGGGATAGAAAGACGAGCAGCAGTGAGATGACGAGAGTGTACGAGATGGAACGAAACTGTGTCGATTGCACACGAAAGTATATGCACACACGTGTATATAATATATACATATATATATATATATATATATATTTATACGCGTTACAAATTTTATAGCGATATTTTCGAACTGTTTCTAGTCACAGCGGGCAAGTTTTCTTAAAGAACATGAAAAAGGAAAGGATTTCTGATGATCGAAAGAAGCACGGCTCGCTCTCTCGAACAACTAACAGTGATCGTTCGAGCGACGTAGAGAGCGAAATAAGTCGATAGGAATAAGTCGATAGAACAATCGTGTTTGGGCAATTGGATAATTATTGGCGGGATATATAGTAATTGGTATATAGTAATCGCTGGAATACCGGTATACCGGTGGATATATTAGCGTGAATACCGGTATACGCGTTCGAAATATATCGATAAGAACGCGAAGAATAGTGGTAATATCCACGTACCGGTACTTGGAGAAATATCGTTGTATCGGGATAAAGAAGAAAGGAAAGGTCGAAGAAATTGCAAATATCGCGGAAGTATAAATTAAGAGGGAGAAAGGAGGGGGAGGAGGGGCAGAGGAGGAGGAGGAAAAGGAAGGTAGGGGAAACACGATGCACGCGGTGTGTGCAATCTTCATCAATATTCAGATAGGATACGCACGCGACACCGACCATGGACTCCGAAATTTCAATGGGATAGAGCCGCGATTCTTTCACGTATCACGAATGGGGCCAACATCCCACGAGGCTCGAGAGATGGCGATTGCTTTTAGCGATCGTATCGACTATTTCCACGCATACGGTTACGCAACCAGAAAACAGATTACCCTTTGTCCACGTAATACTATCGCTATTTATTCTACACTACTACCTCCCTTCCAATCTTCCTTTCGGAATCGTTAGTTCCAACGATTATTCGACAAAAAAAAATTTTAAAATTCGTCAAATTCCTGTTCCCTCTTCTCTCGAGTTATTCCATTAAGGAAGATATACCTACGCGCAACGCGTTCAATTGAAAAAATCCTCGAGCAGACCTCGAGTAACCGACCCCGCCGCTGCTACTCGTTTCGCAACAGGTTTTTCCCCAGACGCGAAAACCGATCCTCCTCCTCCCCCTCCCCCTCCCCTCCCTCCTTATCCTATACAGCGGACGAAGTTGCTTAGGAGCTGCAACAAAAGTCGCAGAAACGTTGCACGTTCGACGATATTCGACGAACAATTTATTACGAGGCGACACTCCGCCGTTGTTTATTTACGCGTCTAAGGTATGCCCATAAATTCCTGAACGTCTGGGACATTTAAAAGACGCGCCACGGCGAAAGAGGTTTGGACGGATGCCTCGTCTATTTTCGAAAATATTATTTTTCCGCGAGAAATTGAAAATCGGATGGAAAAAAAAAAGAAAATTTGATGATGATGATTAATGATAATTTAATGATAAATTAATGATAATTTAATGATGATAATGATGATGATATCGGTGAGGAGAGGTTTGAATGCCTCCTCTATTTTCGAAAATATTATTTTTCCGCGAGAATTGGAAATCGGATGGAAAAAAAAAGTTTGATGATGATGATTAATGATAATTTAATGATGATAATGACGATGGTATCGGTGAGGAAAGATTTGGATGCCTCGTTTATTTTCGAAAATATTATTTTTCCGCGAGAATTGGAAATCGGATGAAAAAAAAAAAAGAAAATTTGATGATGATGATAATGACGATCGTATCGATGAAGAAAGATTTGGATGCCTTGTTTATTTTCGAAAATATTATTTTTCCGCGAGAATTGGAAATCGGATGGAAAAAAAAAAAAATTTGATGATGATGATAATAATGACGATGATGTCGGCAAGGAGAAGTTTGAATTCCTCGTTTATTTTCGAAAATATTATTTCTCCGCGAGAATTGGAAATCTGATGGAAAAAAAAAAAAATTTTGATGATGATGATGATAATGACGATGATGTCGGTGAGGAGAGATTTAGATGCTTCATCTATTTTCGAAAATATTATTTCTCCGCGAGAATTGGAAATCGAATGCAAAAAAAAAAATTTAATGATGATGATGATGATAATGATGTCGACGAGGAGAGGTTTAAATGCTTCATCTATTTTCGAAAATATTATTTCTCCGCAAGAATTGGAAATCGAATGCAAAAAAAAAAAATTTAATGATGATGATGATGATAATGATGTCGAGGAGAGGTTTGGATGCCTCATCTATTTTCGAAAATATTATTTCTTCGCAAGAATTGGAAATCTGATGGAAAAAAAAAAAAAAATTTGATGATGATGATGATGATGATAATGACGATGATGTCGGCGAGGAGAAAACATGGATCTAGTCGGAGGGAACTCGACTGGACGGCTGCGGCTAACGGGACAATTAACCCCGGTCTCGTGCAGTAATTAGATGATCGAGTTAACTCTAAACCTCGGGTTAACGTCGGACCGAGATTCGTGTCCCATGCGGAGAAACGGAGAATAGGAATTATCGCGGAACATCTCTACTGTCTATCTAAACTCAAGCCCCGATGTTCTAAATTCAAAGCTGTGCCGAGGGCACAGTTGATTTTCGATCAACAGTTTGGCCGTAATCGACGCATGCGTCCTCTCACGATTCTTTTAAGAATATTGCTGACGCAACTGTTGCGCGTTTTTGTCTTCGGAAATGCGATCGAAATTTTCTTCCCATTCTCGAATCTAATTCCTCCTCGATCGTCGAAAACTCCGATCGAACGAATTCCCCGTCGAAAATCAAGCGAAAATCATTCAAATCTGCCTTTTTTTCCACCAAACGCCGACAAAGAGTTAAAAGCGCAGGGTGAGAAGAAGCGCTTCCAGACTCGGCCGGGGGAAAAAATTCTGAAAGAACAGAGGGTTCCTCGAGGCAGGAGCGTATTTATAGATCAAGATTCCCGGCAAATACAGAAATTCTCTGACTTTTCGATCTCTGACTTTTGGTCACGGTACTCGTTTTTCGACTGGTCGCAATCGAATTAGAATAGGTTCGACGACTTCGCGAGAACGTGGAAGGAAAAAAAAAAAAAAAAACGAAAAGAAAAATTGGGGAAAAGAGTGGGGGAAAAGAAATCGAGTCGATTGGAAATGCACGATCCGGTAGCCGATCCTCTCGTTAAGGAGGGAAGAAACCAGTCGGCCGCCTCGAGAATTCCTGCTCGTCCTCTTCGACCCCTGACGATCATCGCGCACGACGCCCGCCTTCCTTCTCCTCGCTGTGAAATCACCGGTGAAACAGGAACCGAGGGGGAATCGCAACACCCGGAAACGAGTTCCACCCGATGATATTCTAATCGCGGGCTCGATCCGATCCGGGTGTAAAGGAAAATCGAGTGGCGCGAACCCGATCTTGGAAACCGATAGCGGTTATGCTAATAGAAATACCCGATTAATCGAAAAAGAATATTAATTTCCATTTTAAGCGCGTGTATAAATGTTCCGAGTCATTTTAAACTTGCGGTTCTGTTCAAAATAATAAAAAAAAAAAAAAAGAAAATGCATCGATTGATCGATCGACGATACTCGGTAAAAGTTTGGACAATTAAATGGATAATTGACGAGTGACGAGAATTTTAATTTAATTTTGCTCGAAAAAAAAAAAAGATACGAAACCGAAGATTCTCACGGTGGAGCAATTAGAAGCCGGATCATCGATCGCGTTACACTCATTAACGATCGACTTTCGCGGGAAGCTCGTTTATCGAGGCGTCGTTTATTAATGCGGCACGAGTATGATACAACGCGTACTGGTATCGCGAATCAGGAATGTATATTAGAGGAAAAGAGGAAGAAAAAGAGCGAGCAGACGTGGAAGGAGGAGGAGGAGGAGGAGAAGAAGAAGGAGAAGAAGAAGAAGAAGAAGAAGTAGTTTAGTTGCTATACGTACTTGCACTTACATTATCATGAAGGAGGGAAAGAAGAGAAAGAAAGAGCGAGAGAAAGAAAAATGGTGAATTATATATATATATGTATATATATATGCGTATACTCACAAGCATTCGTCGGGTCGATTGCAGTGTCCGTGCTGCTCGTCGCATCCGGGCAGGCAGCGGGCTGAAACGAGTAAGAAAAAATCTAAAAGGTTAAGGCAACTCTCCGCAAGAGGTCGATCGCGTCCCTCACGACTGCACGAGCGGTACCATACGATGCATCCCGATGCATTCCACTGGTATAGGTAGTCGGGAGAACTCGATAATTCAACGAGCTTGCTCTCTTCTTTCTCTCTCTCTCTCTCTCTGTGTCGTCGTTAATCGAATCGTTAAATTGGCTCGGCCGGAAAATCGATTTGACGCTTTTCGGGTATACGCAATAATGGAGAGATTGTTTCGAGGGAGAGGCAGCAAATGGGATTGGTTTAACACGAAAACAAATTATTATGCATGAAATCTTGCTTTCTTTGGAAAATTGGTCTGGATTGGGAGGGAATTTTTATCCCCTTGATAATCCCTTGAATAATCGTTACGAAATGATTAGAATTTGATTGGATGATCAACAAGTATTCGAAAACAGAGATGTGCGCATCCTCTTTTGAGCAGCAACACTAGCGCCACGATGTATTCATCTTCCGAACCCCGAAAAAAGGAGTCCAATTTATGGACACGAAAGTATCGTTCACACCTCGAATACCCGATCGGACGGAATCGTCTAATTAAAATTTATGTCATATATACCACGAATCGTTCCCGTTTTCCGGGAATCCTGGATGGGAAAGGAGTCTGACCGCACGATTCCTTGCATAGCTGCACGTAGTTGTGAACGATACGTCGCCGAGCGCTCGGTCGCTCNCGCGTGCTCGCGCGCTCTCGCGGTCGCGTCCCACAAGGATGATAAAATTGTGTCACGTGTGAAGATTCTTATCTTACGGTCGTGAACGAGCCACTAACAGCTTGCTAATTGATCAATTTCACCTCTTTTTACAAAAATCGTTCTCGAGATATTTCCACTTTCATCGATAATATCATCGATAATAAAAGAAAAAAAAAAAAAAAAAAAAAAAAAAAAAACGTAAGTAAAAATTGAACGAAGCGAAGAGCAAGCAAGATTGATAGAAAACATGCTACGACGAAAGTTTAAATGATTAAATTTCACGGAAGGTTTATATTTAACAAACGAATGTCGCGAATGAATATAATTTCCTATTTTTAAAACATATATACAGTTATAATAACTCAATGTCGTACGACTCGAAACAATTCCGCCATTCGTATACTCGTGACGAAATTCGGATGGTAAATTAGAAGAGGAAAGGGAGAGAAAGATTGTCGGCATAGCAGCACACGCCAGCCAGCAAGGGTAATGAAATTGTGTCACGTGTCGAGCAGCTTGTCCAGTCCGCAAATATATCCAAAGTCTTTCAGTTGGCTGCCAGCCACCGGTTCGGTTACGTATACACGTTCCACGAGTATATAGACCGCGAATGTCCACGTTACCATGTCAAGACACGAGATGATCTCCTCTACTCATCCATCCAAAGGTATTCGCCTTGATCGGTGCTTTTGCCTCATTGTTACTGTACTTCCTCCTACTATACCGCACTCCCATCTTGCGCCTTTAAAACGAAACATTCCTATTCCTTGGAATACGCTCTGTCCTGTATTTGCGACAGAGATATACATTACGACTATACTCTACGTAAAAACTTTTCTCTATTGCAACAAATCTCCTCCATCTCCCCGAGGGAAAGAACGAACAAAAACCGTGAAATCAATCGAATCTAAGACACGAGAAGACATAAGGTGAAAGAAACTCGGTCGTTTCATTGAATGAAGGGGTTGAAGGTGTATGATAGAAAAGGTGAACTTTGTCCATAGTGCGGCGGGGGCTACGGAGAGGCCGGGAGAGGGCCGATGGGGGCCGCGTGACCTTGGCACCGAGCGCAACGGCCCACGAAGCCGGCTCGCTCTCTCTCTCTCTCTCTCTCTTTCTCCCTCTCTCCCCACGGTGCTCTCTCGCCACCAGTCTCGACGCGCTAAGGAGCGTATGGTATTTATAGAGTGGAGAGCCGAGTGAGGAACGAGTCTCGAGTTTGGCCGGTCGATCCCGCGGGACTGCGCGCCGAAAGGAACGGGCGAATCGCGCGGATTCCACGGGCTTAGGAAAAAAGAAGAATCGAAGGAGGGAGGGAAGGAGGGAGGATTGAGAGAAAAGAAAAAGAGAGAAAGAGAAAGAATGGAAGGAGAAGGATCGGTTTCGATGGAAACCGAATGTTCCTGAATTAAACTGTTGCGGATTACGGCAACGTCTGACGCCGAGTTTATACTTGGATTGGACGGCGTTGTGTGGCGTTGCTATGTGGTAATCTCTTGGAGGGAAGTACCCATTCCACCATCAGCTGATTCGAAACCGAATCAGTCAACTCTCTTTGCGATTTTCGAATAAATATTTATTCTCCCATTATATTTATAATATACGCGTAACATTTTCTAAATATCACGCGATAATATACTCGCAGGAGGGAAGAAACTTGAATAGCTTAAAACTTAAACGCCCCAGATCCACGAGTAGCATATATCCAACGGACAATAGGCAGTTTGACACCACCAGCTGATCGAGGAAACCGCAAGCTGCGTCACGCAAACGAGGAAACCCTTACTCGAGCAATTCCTCCACTATACCTTTGAACGCAAGGTTATTTCCCTTTAAATGTCCACCAATGCCTTCCTCCAACAATGAATTTCACGGCTCGCGTGGCCAACGTTATCCATCGATTTTCCCTTTCCTTTTCCTCCTTTTGAACCGCCCGCCTGACCTTTCGTGGAACCTAACCTACCACCACTCTCGTCTCCCTACCTGACGCAGTACCTCGCTTCGTACAATACGACCCCCTTCGTGACACAAAGAACACACCGAGATCGTGGAGAGGAAAAATCCAAGAATTTCGTCTTGTGCACAGGTAGCTTCCTCTACCTGGTGGGGGTTGGTGGTAAGTAACCGGGGCGGAAAAAGAGGGGAGGGGGGAGGTGAGAAGAGGAGGAAGACGGTGGAAAAATGCAAGAGCGACGGGGGAGGGAGGGAGAATGGGTCGTGGAGGGGGAGAGGGGTTGAAATGGAAGCGGACTGCGAACGCGAGGCCGGTGCAGCTGTTGGTTAAAGCACCGACCTCTGTGCAGCTGTCGGGGGCCCACTCGGCCTCTTTCGGCTTGTTTCGCCCGCTCGTGTTGCAGCTGCCTCCGCAACCCCTGTAACACGTCCAGGCACCCCCGAAAACGCGCTTTCTTCCCCTGCTACCCCTTCCCTTCCTCGTCAACCCCTTCTTTTGCAGGATCCTCGTGGATCCGATTAAACCGTTCATCCAACTTTATCTAAGCGTTTTCTTTCGAATTTCAATCTCTCTCGATATTTTTCGATCTGGAGAAAAAAAAAAAATAACCAAAATTCCCTCGAAGAGAGAGAGGACGATAGGAGAGAAAGAGGGAAGGGTCGACATTTTTGCTAAGACATTTTTTTTTTTTTCCTTTCGAAAGCAGCACACCAGGTCACCTGAGCAAACTGTGCACCGAGTGTACACACACGCTCTCACCATTTCTAGAAACATAACCCCTTCCCCCCTCTCCCTACTGAATCCAGTTCTCACGAGAACCCCGCAAGTTCGCAAGACGCAAGTTCAATCCCAATGCACAAGATTTTTGAAATATTCGATGCTAACGATGCCATCGAATTAAGGAAATCTAAGGAATGGAAATTCGAAATCGAATATATATATATATATATAAAAATTGGGAGGTGGAATCGCAACAATGGCCCATTCTCGGCGGGGGAGGAGCAGAAGGGAGGCGGCGAAAATGCTGGAAACTGGGCGGCGTGGGCGCGGGAGAGGTCGCGTGAGAAAAGATCGACCACCTCGCGTTTTCTTCACCGACGACGAGGACGAGGAGGAGGAGGAGGAGGAGGAGGGCTCGATCTCTCCCCCCTTTCTCGCTTCCTATTTCCACGAATGGCCGCCAATGTAACGAAACGAGGTGTAAGCAGTCTATTAGTAATCGATGCGCGGAGCAAAGTTTGTCGAGCGGCCGAGTGCAACGACCGATCGACGACCGCCGTGGAAACACACCTGGAGCGACCCTGTCCTCCACTTTCGATTCCACTCCAACTCCAAGCCTCCTCTCGAGTCAATTCGATCGTTACAGATTTTAGATTTCTTAAATAATCACCGTTCCTCTGATAATATATTTTAAACGAAAATATATAAATCAGAAGATTCACCCTCGAAAAATCGCCAAGGAGGCATCCATCGAGAGTCGTCCCGTTCCTCGTCCTAGTACGTACGGCGAGGAGAGGCTTGAGAACACGCGAGAGAACGACCGAAAGTAACCACACACGTTGGAGCGCGTTTCGTACGCGCACGCGGAAAGTAGACGGTGGTGAGGTTGCTTGTACACGTACAGATTAATCCTGAGAGAAGGAGCCTCTCAGAAGAGGTGTATATATATATATATATACGTAAGAGAGACGGATAGACAGCAGATACGGATATAACGAGAGAAGAAGGGAGAGAGAGAGAGAGAGAGAGGTGTATATACATAGGAGAGGCGAGACGGAGAGAGAGAGGGAAGGCGTGAGCGCGCGCGCGCGCGCGAGCCAAGCGTGGGAAGCTGGTGCACGCTCGGACCCGACACTGCACCGACACTGCACCGGGCCTCTCCTTCGTGGACTCGTCGAGTTTGTCGAGTTTCGTGCTACGAACGAGAATAGAGAGAACGCTGCTGTATACAGGCCGGCTAACGTCCTGGAATGAACGTTATATAAGCGAGGAGGGGGGCAACGATTTCTTGGATTCCTTCGAGACAATTTTTCTCGAAATTATGCCACGCTTTGTTTGTTATTATCCCGCGGTTTGAAATCGATCGATATTTTATGTATACATTGCATTCTATTTATTATTTTTTATCGGGCATTTTTTTAGGGAATAATGTAGTTAAAAATAGAGTCACTTTAAATAATTAAATAAAATATAGAATAACATTTATCTCCATCGAATTAATTTTTATTATAAGGAAAATCATAAATTCGACAGTCTCTCCGGTTACCGTGTTGAAATACGGTATAAATCACGCTCCACGGGGCAAGGGATGAACAGAGAGAGAGAGAGAGAGAGAGATCTCTGTAATTTCATACACGGAATTCCTACAAAAGGAGGGATGTCACGCGTGGTGCAGTCGCGATGGGAAGCGTGGGAGTGCACGCACATATTACGTGCATACGATAATAGACGTTGGAAGAAGAAGAAGAAGAAGGAGAAGAAAGAAAAAAGGAGGAGACTTACGGGTATTGCAGTAGTCGCCCTTCCATCCAGAGAGGCATACGCGCTCCCCGCTCGGGCTACAGCTGTAATGACCGAAGTTGTCGTCCCTCGGCCTGCACAGGTTCTCGCAACCCTTCCCGTAATAATGCGCCACGCAAGTCACCCTGTACTCGTACACCATCTTCGAGTGGGCGCTCCTGTACTCGTCCTCGGTCCAATTTGGCCCGACGTCCAACCACTTTTGCGTAGTCAGCCTGGTTATCAACACTTTCTCTGAAATAATTTGCACAAATTGTGTCTCCGTTAATATTCAAATCCTTTTTTTCTTTTTCCTAATAATTAAATTTATTTAAAATAATTATAATAATATTAAAATAAATAAATTTAAATAATTTAAATTATATAAATAAAATTAGATTAGATATCTTTTTAACGAATTACGAAGGTAACGTAAACAGAAAAGGAGGATTAATTTTATTTTCAATATACGCAGAGATATATATTCCGAAAAGGTCAATTAATCGGTCCGCTCGATTTAAAGACAGACAGAGAGAGAGAGAGATTCGCTTCAATTGATACGTGGGTACAATTAACTCCTCCGTTTCACCGGATTGAAATCAATTCCAATTTATCACCCATTGACTCCGACACGTTCGCGATGTCTCCCCCACAATCATCCCCAACAATACCACCCTCGTGTATTCTCTCACGAGTATACAACACAAACGAGCCAATATAAAGAACAATAATCGAAATAAATCATTCTCGAATTAATTACTCGAAGAATAATTTAACAAAATTCCACTTCCACTGTCTTCTTTGAAATCCCACAAATTTTCTCGATCATTCCGATCGATCGATCCAGGAAAAACGAGGAGGAAGAGGGAGACGAAACGCGAAAAAGCAATTAAGCATGTCCATCAGTAGGGCACAACACAGAGGAAGGCGGCCGTGG